GGTGGCTGAACCCACCCTGATTTTTTCCCGAGTCAGCGCTCTCAGAGATGCACCAACAGCGGCGACAACAGAGAAATCGTTCTTCTAGTTATCCCAGGTCGTCGGCGCCCCTCGTAAAACCCTTTGGACACTGCCTGACCAACTGACGGCTTAGGAAGAGTTGTTGGCCGTCGAGGCGGCTTGCTTTGTCGTCAAGGTGTCCCGGGCAAAGGGCCCAGCGTCTGAGAACCGTCTGCGGATCCATTTCCCACGTTCTCCGTGGTGCCTTGATGCCGCTGTTTCCACAATTTGTGGTCTGCCTGGCGCCGCATACCCGTCACTGCAACAGACTACGATATTGACTTCATGTAAGACTCAACGTATTCGTGCTGTGCTGTCTCGTGCGCGGTGTGCAGTGTTTCTCCCTCGCCATGGGCTGAGCTGGGGCGTGCCTCTTCCCCCTTTCGTGGGTTAGGAAGGAGGCGGCGTTTCACCTTACCCTTTCGGGGGCGGAGGTGAAGATGACAAACTTCATTGGACTGTCCTGGCCTCCATTGCTTTTTCTTTTTTCTAGCAGGGAATCCTGGAAAGGCCACGACATAAAACTCGAGCGTCGAGGCGCTCCTGACAAGCTCTCACAAGATCCTAGAAGCTCCCATCATGCTTCCATCGAGAGCTTTCATGATGCTACCACCATCATGTAACACGCTGCCTGTAAATATTGTAATTAAAAGTGACAGTTAGCAGCCTCGGCTCCTCTCCTCGACATCTCGCCGAGACTCTCCGGTCCTCTGGGCAGAACCACGGTTACATCAGTACCGCCAACGGGTGGCTACCGGTCTGGCACTCCTAATTGTTTATCTGGCAGCTGTAGATGGATTGTGCAAGAATGATGAACTTTTGTTAAAATAATATCGTTAGTTTCGTCGAAAACGTCTCTATATGATGTTAGCAGACTACGGAGGCTGGCAGCTTGTCTACTGAGTACGCCAGCGATGTCCTTTCTCGAGCCCATGCAGCTCGTCAGCTTGCCCGTGATCGGCTGCACTTGTCGCAAGCGCACCAAAAAGACCGCTATGACAGTCGCCACCAAAGCGTGCACTTCTCGCCGGGGTCTCTGGTACTTCTCTGGACACCAAACCGCCAAGTCGGCTTATCAGAGAAGCTACTATCACACTACCATGGCCCCTACAAAGTGTTACGGCAACTTAGTGACGTGAGCTACGAGATCGCACCCCTAAACAATGCCTCTTCGACCCCCTCACTCCATACAGACGTTGTACACGTTCCCAGACTCAAACCGTATCACCCTCCTCGTTCGTCGCTGCCGTACTAAGCGCCGTGACGGCGCTTCCGCCGCAGGGGAGTGATGTTACGGTGCATCATCGGCAGGAGCAAGCGTGGCACTTAGCGAAGATGAAGAAGACGCCTGTGCGTTAGGCGCTTGCGCGAGAGGCAACTCAGGCATCTTGTTCGGCTGCCGATTCTCGCTGGACGCTGTCCTGTAAGCGTAGATCTCGCCCCGCCACAATATTTTTCTCTTCTATTCCACCTAACGCCACCACCGTTATTTTAGCAACATGGGGAAAAAAAGAGCATGCATACACCTCTCACTAAAAACTGCAGTCTCCTCGGACTGTTAGGACTACCGAGAGCCGGGCGACTCGCCAGTTTAATTAGGCATGGGCGACGCCACCAGTTCTGCCGACGGCAGATGGGTGCACGAGTGTCATCGTGGTTTTACTTAGTTGTTCCATGGTTAAGCAACCGTGTCAGCACGACCACAGCAAACGCTAGAACGTTCGGTGGCATTAAGGTATTGGGACAGTCTGTCTATTTAGAGCAGATGCGCTTATCTTTATTCATTTTTTTATTCTTTTCTTAAAGTACAGCGCAACAGCTTTCGTGAGAGAACATGTGCCACCGCGTCTTCAAGTATGTTATTTGCCAACGTGTTCTTAGTCGAGACACGAGCTTCCGCTCGCATGTGTTCTAATTAGTAGTCGTAAGTTGGTACTTCTTTCATGCATAAGGAATTACAGCGAGTATCACAGAGTGTTCATCTTGCCCGTTTGCACGGGCGCCGCCGTAGTCCTCTTTGGGCTGTTGTTAACATGCGTGACCCCGCGAAAATGCACTCCCGAGGCTGTGACGTCATCGGATTTTGTGCCCTCGTGCGACAGCCCAGAAAGGAGGGGATCCTCTATTACGCTGAAAAAAAGAACGATGGTGCGACCACGGCCGCTGGATGAAAGAGCGCTTTTCAATCCAGCGGCTGCGGTACGACCCTGAGGGAAAGAGGCGTTTCCACCTCCTCCCACATAGCTCGTCTCTTTCACGTTCTCAGTGGTAGAGCGACACGGTGAGCGAGTAGTCGGGGAGGGGGTTGTGGTAAACTCCTTTCCCCCCCCCTATATATATCCCTTATCTAACGGAGCACCTTACGCGCGTCTACGGACACCAGCATGCAGACGGAAGTAGACACCTCGGAAGACTGACGTACGAGTGTTGGAGGACGCGCGGGGACATTCGCGCACAACTCAAATAATAATAAAAAAATTGCGCGCAAGCGAGTTAGGGGATGGGTTGAGATACGCACGCGGACGCGTCGCGCATGTGGCTGCAGCGCGTCCTTCAGCTGCAAGAGAGACGCGCGCGCGCGTGGTCCCTATGTCCATTACTAAATGACAGGCTCGCTGGAATGCATTTCGTCAGAGTCCTGATTAGTTTAATTGCGTGACTCGGGCGACGTAGAGGGACCTGCTAGTGCGAACCGTACGGGAAGGAACTTTAGGCAAGCAAGAAAAAACGAGAGAAAAGGAAAGAGAGGAAAAAAGAAACTGATAAGCTAAAAAAAAGAATGCCGTCGCCGTGCCAAGGCAAACGCACGACCTGCAAGCACAGCGAACAATTAAATCGGGAAAAGCGTAATTAAAAGTGCGCGGACAAAAATAAATAAATAAAAGAAAGAGACGATGGACTACTGATGCACACATTCAGAGACTGTATTTGGTGAACCAGAAAGGAAAAAAAAAACAAAACAAGACAGACGATATTAGGCGATAGTGCAGAAACAGTGTATAGGGTGCTTCACGAAGAATCGTAAAAAAAAAAGAAATGAAAATGAGCAACATCCGAGGAGCACCGAAAGAAAGCGGCCATGAAAGGCCACTCAAGGAGAGCGTTAAAGCGATCGAAACGACGTCGGTATAGCAGCCGTGTAGCGCAGCTAATCCGCGGGTCCCCCGGGGAGACTTGGCTCTCGGATTACCGTAAATCCGGATTAAACAAGTGAACGTGTCGAAGAGTCGTCCCCGAGATTAAAACCAAGGTGAGGTGCACGGGCCGAGGACAAGCGGACGATGAAGAGGCAGCGAAGGGAAAAAAAAAAAAGCGATGGAACACGCGTACGCGGAACCTGAAGAAAAGCGCTTTTGGATTTCGCTCTCGGGGTTCGAACCCGTGTCCTCCGCTTTGTTTTTTAGCTTCAACCTTACACGGAGGACTTGCTTCTTTTTGCCATTATAGTTCACCTTGGCCAGTAGCCCGAGCGGGGATTATGAGCTTGCCTTGGATTGTTACTTCACCGAATGAGGAGGGGGGGGGGGGCGAAAACTTTGCACCGACTCTACAGGAGCGGAGGAGAACTTCCAGACAAGAATACAAATAGAAAAAAGTAAAGAAGAGACAATGAAACAGGAATTATTCGAGCACATGCCATAGCTCGGCGCACGTCCCCGGCGATTTACTTTACTCGTCTCTATCGCTCAGCGTAGGATTTAAAAAAAAAAGAATCGAAACGAACAGGCGCTATTCGGATGAGCGTTAGGACTTTGTCCCAAACACCCGTAATAGCAAGGGTCACGTATTTATTTTCCTTTAATCTGCAAGATTAAGAGCTCTTGTATTCTTGGAAAAAATGAGCCTTTAAATGCACTGTCCACTTAATAATCCGCAGATACATATATACTCGGTGAAGTTATTTTTTTCTTGAAAATGGCATTACCGGATCAACAGAACGTGCGGAACAACGTACAATTTTTTTTGTTTCTAGTAACGATGCGTTTCTGTATACTATAAACAAAGGTAACGCGACACTAGACGTCTTGCGTGCAGAGAAGCTTATATCGCGAAAGCTCTTTAACGGAGAGCGATGACGGTCGTTACAGCGCCGGCCGGTACGCTTGAGTGCTTTTAGACAGATTGAGCAGCTCTTGCGCAAAGTGGGAAGAATGTGTTTCCGAAAGTGTTGAGGTGTAACACATACCAATGACAATTAAAATAGTAACGGCGTTCTTTTTGGCAATTATATGGACACCTTTGTCTTTTATTTTGTCGCCCTTATGACCCACATATGTTTTATTTAAAACCCACAAAAATAATTTAGAAAAGTACTTTTCGAAGCGCGCGACCACTCGTTCCAACCTGCGACCTCTCGCTTCTCAGTACGCGGCGTTAGACGACACGGCCACGGATCGCACCTCCTTCAGTGTGCTAAGGGCGAGCTATTCATATACACAATTTATCGCTGGCGGTACACAGGGTTCGGAGGCGCTTCGTTCTTCCTAACACCAACGAGTTGGCGCGAATGGCGAGCTTTAAAGGTGGTCGCCCCGCTCGCTACGATGCGCGCGCTCCTACTATTACACCCATATTTTGCCCTACAGGGCGTGGTTGCCCCGTGCGCCCGCTTATACTGTAACCGGTGCTGTTTGCACGTGTTGCGCTTTCACAGCGAAAAAAACTTTTTGCTGATGTCTCAGAGCACGCAGGTGCGCTCTGTCACTGTAACGGCCGCGTTTCGGGAAAGTTGTAACAACTGTGACAGTCAATGCGCGCTCCGCCTGTTTATACCGTTCCATTCGGTTCGTGCGTCCTTCTTGTATGTTTAAGCAGCGCGTTGAGTTTTGAGCTGTAAACATTGTTAGTTCGCGATCATCCTGTGTATGTGTTCTCGTCGTGCGTTCTTTCCTCTTCAGCAGAGCTTCAGAGTACACGACGGAGAGAAGTACAGGAACGAAGAGGTGTTGCAGCTTCATCTTTATTTTGATTTTTATTTATTTTCGAAACGGACTCGAAGTCGAGAACAGCGAAGGGGACTAAAGCCACGCCGCCCAGAAAAAAAAAAAGAAAGGAGAATGTGCACTTTTGACTCGATGCTCGCGAAATGTCGCAGCAAGGACGAACGGTGTGTCATCAGTTCACGGCAATCGTAAGAACACAAGAGGCGATGTCACCCCAACACAAGCCACCAAGTTTCCAAACAATAAGAGATACTACTTTTCTCTACTGCGCAAGGGACAAGAGTCACCCTGCACACGGAAACCACACGCAATGAAAGCAATAAACGATTGACGCAGTTGATCGGGCTCCTCCCATCTAAAAGAAGCCTACTGAAAGCTCTTGTAAAGCCCCGAGTCGGACCCTTCGAGTGGTGCCTTGCATTCGCAACATGGCATATAATTTGTGGACAATAAGTTATTTAAGCAGCTATCTAGGGCAATGAAATGGCACAGAGCAATACGGTGCACCACTGCAAGTAGTATTTACATTCACGGAAAAGGTCACTTGGCCGGAAGATTCAAGCAGTGCAAAATAAGTGAAGTATCTAAGTTCAAGCTTCTTTTTCTTTTGTTTTACAGTTTTGTTTCACAATGTACCAAATAAAAAGAAGAAAAAGCACGCCATCATGATGGCGTGCATTTCTACACAGTTTTATTCCTACAATCCTGTTGCAGTCCTTGGGCAAAAAGCTAAGCAAAATTAATCAGTGCAATACTGCCACTTTTTTTAATACACTACGGCAAACACCGCCTAGCACAGCATTTTGATTAAAACCTCTGCAAGTGGAGGCGTAGTTGTTTCCAGCAACCTACCACGCTAGATCAACTAATGCTTATGATTCTATGAACTTTGTACAAAATCGTACGGCCTTATGACTGGGCAGGAGGTGCTACGCACCCTGGTCGCACGAAACAGCTGCGCTGGCCTCAGAAGTGTTCAATGTTCAAGCTGCCACAAGGCTTCACAGTTCGGCAGGAGGTGTAGGTCTACGGTGCGCCAGATTCCTGGGACAAAGGCACCACAAGGCATCGACGAATTCTACTTCGTTCGAAAGTTTGAGAGTCCTTCACACTTTTCGCATCCGTGTTGTAACAATCGCCTGCAGAAGTTGCATGTTGAACAGAGTTCATGTCACGAACACAGCGGAGACAATGTCATGAACACGGAACACAAAGATGCAGCCAGTGGCAACGTAGGTTCAAGCCCAAAAAACATCAGCGCAGATTTCTGCACATTGGCCTAACGTGTTCGCTCAATCTGGACTAACTTGACCCGGTGCTGCGTTTGCGTAAGTCAGCAGGGCCGACAATGTGCAGTGGTCCACTTCACAATTACGGGGGGAAAAAATGTCAGAAAAAAGGAGGCAACACAAAAGGCTTCAGAAAACACTAAAGTCCGAGGACATCTACGATCGGCCAACACTACGCTGTGCTATCATCCGAGCTGGGTGCTGCACCATCCTGACTTTGGAGAACTTCCAGCTGGGGCTGCTGTTCTGGCGCAGGCGTCTCGTCATTTCGAGACACCGCGTCATCCGCTTCCCCCTTAAGGTCTTCACAGGAGGAGGACGTTGACTCCTTGCGCTCCTTGGAAACTCTGTCACCCCCGTTAGTCAGCTTCGGCGAGTCCTCTGTTGTATCGCCGGACGTCTGGATCACCTCCGAGGCGGTGTCCGTGGTGGTTGTGCAGCCATTGGAAATGTCTTCTCCATTCCTTACGTTGGTGCCCTCCGACCCGGAGCCGTCGTTAGCCGACTGCAGTGCTTGTTGTAGTTGAGACTGCTGTTGCTGCTGCTGCTGAGACTGCTGTTGGTTCGGCGACTGCGACGCGGCAGCGGCACCCAGGGTTGCCGCGTTGAGCAGGTTGCCGATGTACACGGTCCGTATGAAGGCGACTCGGGGGGCGTCGCCGGACTGCTGGACGGCGATGCCGCCATGGCCGTTCAATCGGACGGTCGTCGAGTGGAAAGGCCCACCGCGCTGGTTCAGCTGCGACGCGGCTGCGGTCGGCGGCGAGCCGCCGGGGCCGCCACCTCCTACCGCGGCGGTCGTCGACGACTCGGCGCCGGTCGCTTGGGTCGCGGCGTCCGCGCGGCCGGCCTCGCCCTGCTCCAGGCCCGAGCGTTGAAGGATCGACGGCAGCTCGTAGTGGTGGAAGAAGTAGATCATAGAGTGCTGCGACGGAGATGGAAGAAAAAAAAATACGAGTAAACATGCGGCGTCAGTGTCGCAGTAAATTAATTTCGGGTAAGCTAGGCAAGAAATAGACTGAGAAAGCAAAACTATGCGCAGCATTCACCCGTAACGGGAAACAACGCGCTCGGTGTATGTCTGTTGGAAGACGGCGCATTTACGTAAAAACGGCTACTGAGAAACCGAAACTATAGACGCCGTCAACCAGGGTAGGCTTTTATATGCGCGAACTTCCAAGAAGCGGCAACTATCGACAATCTTCAATCCAGGTGAGCAGAAAGCTCACGTGTAAGTGAGTAAGAAGACATAATTCACACAGCCGCTTCACTACACATACCAAGAAACCGAAACCATGGACACCATTGCGTAAGGCCGGCAGTTTCAAAGCATGTCAACGGGAAAGACACCACAAGAGGGTGGGAGAAACAAAACGGGGTTTGCGGCGAAAAGGGTGCCCGAGAAACAGCGAAGAGCAATTAAACTACTCCAGCCTTGTTATAATTCACAATTATATCATTTAAGACACCTGTTTGCCGGTAATTGCACTCCCTGTGGTCTTTAGTTACTCTTAAGAGAGCAAATCTTTGGGCGAGTCATTAGTTCATTATACTGACAACAGCACAACGAGGGATGGGAAGCAACACAAACGAGGGCTGTACGTTGTGCGTACAGCGCACGTCTGTGTTTCTCCCCACCTCTTGTTGCACTGTTGTCAGTATAATTTAGTTACTCTTGTCCCGCGTAATCTGGCATCATGTTATACCTACTAGTTCCAATGTCCTAATCTGGCACACGATACTTCAATCTGACACCTCAACATGTAGTGCAGACTAGGTGTGAAAAGGGGGTAGCTAATGTACAGGTATGGTTGAAATCAAATGGGAAGAGTTCTCGTACTTCTACAAGTTGGCCACGATGCACACGTCTCTAGCAGATTAAGTGCCAGACTTTTGCTCGACACATTATGTTACCTGTCCAAATAAACTTTTCCCATTTGACTGAAGTCATACGTGTACATCAGTGACTCACTATAAATTTCTGCTCCCAGTATGCACCAAGCCCATAGCCCAGGAGGGGGGGGGCGCCCTGCCCCCTACCTTAAAATCGGATGGAGGTGTTTTACCGAGGATAGATAGAAATACAGTGTTTTATTGCGATAGCAATTATATACACAGTCTCGGCTGGTTTTTGCTATCACTCCACCGCCACCATCATGCACTGTACATGTATACGTATCTATATATACGAAAACTCAAGAAAGGAAACAAAACAAAAAAAGCCGCCCCACACTCGGCACCCACCTCGTCGCGATGCGCCAAGGCACGCTTATCTGCCACGCGATCTTCACCCCGCCGACGGGAGCGGAGAAGTTAGGTGCTCGTGCGCTTATCCTTCGGTGGGGAGAATCGTGTGCCTTGGCCTTTCACCGGAACGATTGCGTTAGCTGCCTGGGCCACAAAGATCACTTCGCTCGCTAGGCAGGCCCCGTTTGCGAAAAGAGCGCGCTTTTCGTACACGGCGAAAGAACAACTGGGACACTCGTTAGTTTCAAGCGTTGACGTTCCATGCGTCGTTTTTATCTAAAAAGCGCATTAAGCATCCAAATGCAAAGGCTTTTATATTTCTCTCGTTTCGCACTGCACGTTTCGATCTGCTAGCCGTTCTCAGCGTTACATTCCAAGGTGTTGCTATCGCATTCAATGCTTCGCCCTTGCGGTGAAACTGGGACTTTTTATCAAGGCTTTCAAAAAGTGCACCCCCCCCCCCCACCTCCTGAAAAAAATTTTTGGCTACGGGCTTGGTCTGTACTATGTGACTATAATGCGTTCCCGGCAGTCATTATACGTGGCCGATATAAGCAATCAATTCCGAAAAAAATCTTATAGTGCATCGCGAACATAAAAGCACGGCGGTTATATAAAACAACGAAAAACACCCCAGCAAAGTTGTCGGCAACCAGACACAATTGGTAACAAGCCCTTTCTAGCACGCCTATATAACGCGAGATGCGAGGAACAAGAGCAAGTTTTCGCCCTCGATGACCAGATGACCCCAGACCTGTATGAAGAACCAGGAAGTCAGCAGGGCCAGTCCACTGTACTGTCCGTTGAAGCGGTAGTCGTAGGCGTAGAACGCGAAGTGGTACAAGTAGAAGAACCTGCGAAGAACAACAAAGTTTTCACAGTTTCGTCCCGATAGCACGCAGTGATGGCAACGTCAATGCATCGGACAACTACACGGAGGTAAACTCGGGCAGAGTACCGCGTGGTCCTGTATTCATGCGCATGTTTTCCCAGCGCAAACTTTCTTCAAAACGTACAGCTTCACTGCATTCAGCCGAACCCGGCTAACGGCGTTCAGCAGTGCGAATGGCATTCGAAAAAGACAGTAAAAAATCGGGCCTGGACCAACGACTTTCAATTTATGCAATGTTATAAACAGGGTTCGATGTGAATAACTCGCCGACGATTGAGTTCTGTGTGACACGAGCCATTTATTTTGCATCACTTGGAACTGAGTTAGGTAACTGGGCATCAATGGTCGTTCGTTGTTCGAAAAGTCACTGTCCTTTCCTCTTCGGCCACTGAGTTTCCCCGCACCATCCGGTATAGCCTGGTACAGTCTGGTCCTGTTAATCATGCCGTTCCTCGAACCAATCGGCAGCGGTCCAAATCGCCCAATTTTTCCCATGGAAAAGAAAGTGTCGCCGCGACGGTTAGGCAGAACGGAACACGCAGGGCTAAGGCTGGCCTTCAAAAGTACCAGCGACAAATACAGCTTGTGCAAATGACTTTTAGTGTATACAGCAGCACAGTGGTCAGCAAATGACTTTTAGTGTATACAGCGGCACAGCGGATGAGCTGCGCTAGTGATGATGGCCTTCGAAAGCAATTTAACGAGTGAACGTTCTGGCGATTGGCCTTCGAAGGCCACCCGAGTGGGCTAGGCGCACCTTCGCGCTGCTGCGCCTGAACTTCGTTCGGCTCAGGCAATTTCCCCTAGCTCCTCGCAAACACACCACTTGTACGCAGCTTTCCTCCACAGTGAGAAGAAGTTGCGTACTTTACGTTTATCGCATTACGTATTATGCTCCGGACTATTCCGTTAGAGCTGTTTTTTAGCCCGCAGTGGGAGGCATCCGTTATAGTTGTTCAAGTTCCAAGATGACGGGTTCGTACTCTACTTTCCGTCTGACGTTCAGGCAGCATTAGTGTGCTTGGAAAAGTTCAGTGTTTCAAAATCCACAGCTATTTGCAAAGAAGAACACCCGCAAACAATACAGGCACACTGCGTTATCACTGTCGTACTATGAAACACAAAAGAAAAGAAAAAGAAAGAAAGAAACATGTGTAGTACACCTCCCCACACTTCAAGCCCGCACGATTTTTTCTTCTTTTTTTTTTTCGTTCTTGCCGCGTCTTTCGAAACACGCCCCTTTCAGAACAACGCATAGCACCTGGCTCGCTGAACGCACGAAGAGTTCTCTCGCACGCTCCGCTTACGGAGAAAACAAGCCGCATCCGACGCCAAAGCCACAATGCAGGGCAAAAGCGAAGCTCAATTTCACGTCGAGTGCAAATGCTAAAACACATTCCCCCCAAAAAAATAATCAAAAAGCCAGCCTACACGCAGGCGAGCGACGGGAGGCGCTACGGGCGCGGGGTGTAATGATGAATGAATCAGTCTAATCGGACGACGACTACCGTCACCGCAATTATTTAGCGACGGGCATTCCCTACTGGTAAGGACAGAAACTAACAAATGAAAGAGCGCTATGAAAGGCACGCCTGCCGTAGTGTGTCACAAAACCGACGCGGAACGCACCGCAGCAGGCAGCTTCGTACCACTGGAGACAACAAAGCTCCCTGCTCCCGCCGCACGCCTTTTACGTCTGCATGGAGCGCCCCCTCCTCCTCTGTCCTCAAGCTGTGCGATGGTTCCCACATACCTCTTCCATTTTCCAAGCGCTACGTACACCCAACGCTTCTATAGTCTCGGCTGCTTTATTTATGTTTTTTCTTTTCTTTCTATCACTTTAGCTATTCCCCGTTCACCCGAGGGGGAGTTCATTTGTCAACAAGGAAGCATGGGAAAAACCTGGCTGATCCCTCTATATAGGAATCGGTATAACGAAAGTGAAACGTGTTTTTACAGAGGTAGTTGAGCGTTTATTATTGTCTCAGCAACGGCAACAAATTGCAGTCACGTTACGAACGGCAAGCAGCTAGAAATTCGCAGCGCACACCTCAAGCAGAAAGCAACCAAGAAGTTAGCAGGACGAGCGCAGACTAACTAACAACTGTCATCACAATTGACCATTTGCGGAAAAGCTTCTGCGCATGCGCGGTAACGGCGCAGCTGGCGCCCTCTATGGGCGCTTTGGTTTTGGTTGGGAAAACACGAGCCGGGCCGGCCGTCACTCGTGCATCTCTGTGCCGTCACTGAACTAAGTCGCCTCGCTTTAGCAGCGTACAGAAATGCCAGCGCACTGTGTGGCCTACGGCTGCACGAATTATTTTACTCAGAAAGGAAGCACGCATTTCTACAGGTTCCCGTCCGCGAGGCTACGTGCCGAAAGAGAGATGCTTGGGTAGCTGCTGTGAGAGACAGAATGCCGACGGTTCGCCGTGGGCGCCCAACAAACATTCTCGGATCTGCAGCGCGCATTTCATAACAGGTACGGTATTTTAAGTGCTTATAACTTGGTTTGTGCAATCAGAAATCACGTTTACTGCAGGACGGCCGTCAAAGTTCAAGAACCATCCTGACTTCGTCCCCAGTGTGTTCACCTACGTGAGAAGTCGCGGCGATGCTGCTGTGCGTCGCCATAGCCGATGTGGAGCGATGAGCCTGGCGAACGGTCGAAGTAGCGGAGTGTAGGTACCGCCACACGTCGTCGTTGTTCAGGCTGCAACGCGAAAAATCCTCGCTCCATCCCGTTTCCACAAACGCAAACGGGATGTTTTCTTCTTCTATCATGTTGTTTCCGTAAGCAGCGCACGTTTCCGGCAAAGAAACAACACTAAATCAATAAAACAAGCGCACGCGAGCCGCCGAACGCTGCCTAGCACATGTTAGTTCACGAATGCCTTTCCAACCAAAAGCGCGAGCGCTGCTTCCCTGTTTAGACGGCAGGTGGCGCTCGCTTTTCCGCAAATGGTCAATTCTTCACGCGTAGTGTGTCAGCAGCACACTCCTTCCCTAAACGCGGCCGCGGCAGCGTGCGAAGTGACCTTCGTTGTCTCCCGAATCACGAGTCTGATAAGCGCACGCGCAGGAGAGACCCCGCTCCGCTCCGAGGGAGCGTGGAGGCGGCGACCTTGAGAGCACGTCGAACGCAAGACCGTCTCGCCGTCTCGCCACTGATAACAAAAACGCGCTCAAGTTTCAAAGCTCTGAGGACTACTGAACGGTGTATGGTTCAATCTCCTAGTATACATTTTTCAACGGTCACTTCCATGACGGAAGTACGTCAGCGGAGCTGTGGTGGACCCCGGCATAAAACACTTTCAAGCTAAAAAAAAAGAAAGAAAGAGCGGGGACAACAACAGTCACCGCGGCGCGAGCACTATTTGTTCTCATCTGTTCTGTTCGCGCAACGCCACGCAGCCATGCAGACCAGCACGCTTTCTGCTAAGGAAAGCGTGCCGGTGCTACGCCTCCTAGAAATACTATGCCTGGAACGTCGCTCTCTTTTCGGTTGGGAGCCTCCTGCCATCACGCAATCTCGGAGGCCATGCCTCCTGCCTTGTGTTGCGACCAGCTGCCGCATGAGAACACTAGCCTCCGTACCGCTCAGTCACGTGACATCACGGCTGCTCGGAGGCAACTGTGAGAAGCATTGGTGCTCCCAGGAAGCGGCCGTTGGAGACGCTCGCCTTCGTACCGAAGTAGGAGGGTGAAATCAGAGGGTAGGGCAGCGCGTTCGTGGCTCACGTTCCAGGCATATTTTTTTTTTAGGAGGCGTTGCTTCGGCACACTTCTTTGTATAAGACTCGTCTTCATTTCCGCGAGCAACGGCAACTTATTTCCCGTCGACAACGTGGCTGTACGCTTTCAAGATGTACGCCTCCGATGTTCATTTTCAATCGGCATGAAAATGAACTTCGCCAACTCGCGATTTGTCCAACCTTTTGTCAAGACGAGTAACAGTGCGATCCCACGCTGCACAGAAAGACGAATCACGTGGTGTCCAGCAGAAGTGTGTCGGGGAATCGTTAGTTCTATAGCGGCTTGTGCATCCAGGTACACAAGTCGGCATTGAAGACGCACAAACATACACAAAACAAAACAGCACGCGAAATCGCTTAAGTCTTCGTGCTTACAACGCGGAGCAACCGCTGCCAAACACACATACGATCCGGCGCACGTTGATGGACTGGCGCTGGAACCGGTTGCAACGGCAGCGCCACTTCCGGCCACAGCTTGCGGCGGCGCCGCGCAACACCACCGAGTTTTCAAACAGATGAGGTTCTAAATATGTTGCCTTTAACAGTCGGCCATAGCGTACATTATTTGCTTGCCATTGTTATGATTCGTGTACTGTCCCACATTCTGCGGTTTTAAAAAATGCAGCGATGCCGTTGTAGGTCAGCTGCGAAAGCACAATCGAATCTATTTATCTATCTATCTATCTATCTATCTATCTATCTATCTATCTATCTATCTATCTATATATCTATCTATCTATCTATCTATCTATCTATCTATCTATCTATCTATCTATCTATCTATCTATCTATCTGTCTGTCTGTCTGTCTGTCTGTCTGTCTGTCTGTCTGTCTATCTATCTATCTATCTATCTTTCTATCTATCTATCTATCTATCTATCTATCTATCTATCTATCTATCTATCTATCTATCTATCTATCTATCTATCTATCTATCTACCTATCACGGGAACACTATCTGAGCACGGGTGCGTAGAGAACATATACACTTGCCTGAGCCAATGTCTCTTGGTGATGGCAGTGTGGCAGCAGATGGCGTCGTACTGGTCGGCGACCCACACGATCAGGATGATATAAAAGGCCGTCGTGGTGTCGTTGAAGAACTCGGACATAATCGTCTCCATGCCTGCACCAAGACACGTAGGAGCAAAAACGTAGGCGATATAGATACGCATAGTCTACACACTAGCTTCTTACTGTTTGCGCACGGCAGTGACGTTTACCATGGGCGCATGGATGAAGGCAAAAAGCGAGGAGAGAGTGTCACGTAATTCCGCTAGCGTCAGCAAGCCAACCTCCTCTGCCGTGCGCGGTGCCTCCTGGGTAGCATTAGGCCCCAGCAGCGGTCGCACAAGACGCAACCAAAGCAGGCCGACCAATAGCTGCACTTGTCTACCACGTAATCACGGCCTATTTCTCGTATAAATTTTCCATAACTAGGTTTCAGGTTTTTTTTTTTTTCGCGTGACGATCCCTCCACCATGCATGAGCGGCTCGGTGGTAAGCTTCGTAAAACAGCGCCGTCTTGGGATTGCACGCAGATGATTTCACGGTTTTGTATGCACAGCGACGCCTTACTTGGAAAGTCATTAAACACCAAGCCAAACATCTGTGATAGCCATTCTGGCGCGTATACGGATCCCGCGTAGCATAAGGTGGCTCTGTCACACCTTTTCAAGTACCAATTAAATGGCTTCACGAAAGGAGTGTACTGCCTCACGAATTTACCGCCGCGAAAATTTTTACAATCCGTCAAGTATACGGGTGAAGTTACGTAGATTTTGCGCATGCTAGTTGTTTTTCAAGAGTGAATACACTTCATAAGCGACCCCAAACCATCCACCGCCGTCGGCGGCGTCCGCAGTCTTCCCTCTATCTTTAAAATAAAGAGGACTCGGCGGGCCGCAGCGCGACACTCTACCGAATAAGCCACGGACGCGACGCTGATATCGGTGTCAGTAACGCGCCTTATATCCCCTCCCCCTTCGCTCGCTCCTCCGCTCTCCTCGCTCGCTGCAGCTGCGCGCGCACCCCTCTCTCTCGCGCGCCCGCCTTCTCTCTCAGTCTATCGTCGAGAGCGGGTCGTGAGGGGGAGTAAAGTTAAAATCCGTTGGCATTCGCCAGTGATCACACGGGGGAGTTAACGTAAACTCCCCCGTGTGATCAAATTGCGATTCCCAGGAACCATTACACCATAAAGGCACCATTGTGTGATTAATAAATATAGTAGTGCGAATTAATAAATACCCCTCATAGCATCACCTCGTGTATTCGCACTTAACCATGTTCACCCTCGGGGAAATGCTTGGGAGTTCTTCTCGTCTCTCATGCTGGCGAAGGCACTGGAAGATAAGCAGGGAGAGATGGCGCGGGGGGGGGGGGGGGGAGGCGTTACGTCACACGCACATGACCTTGAGCAGCTTTACCGTTTTTTTTTCTTTGTACGCACGGCTAACCTTCAGTGAGATCACGAGCGCGGGCACGTGGCGGCCTCCCGTGGCGATCGAAGTGACTGCGAAGCTTACGATGCTCAATTCAGCCGATGGGCGTTAATTAGGGTGTATGGCGCGATCGTTCGCGTATGGGGCATCATTTGCGGAGAGCAAAGGGAGCGACTTCTAGTTCACTTGGATAATTTATTGCCACATTATGGGGCCGCGCGCTTCGCTACAACGTTTGGCTCGCGTGTTCTCGGGAGCCCCCAAATACCGATCCGCCGCGTTTTCTGACCCTGGTGAAGAATCGTTACAGGGCCCCTTTAACGAAACACACATGGGCGTCCCACCTTGGACTGTTAAACGAATGTTTTATCTTTGCACACGTCGACGTGAATTTATGACGTACTGAAACGTGAAATGCACCCAACAACATTTTTTTTTATGCCCATAAGTCTACCGTAACGAACTGCCAAGTTTGTAAAGACACAATACATCAAGGCTACAACTTAGTACAAGCGGTCATAAAGACGTGCGCAGTGTTCAATATTGGGGGGGGGGGGGGTGAAGGTTTATCGCAGTGCCCTTCTCCGTATTAAGCCAAAGTAAGCAGACTTAGTTCCAGCGCCTACTAAATAAGTGGAAAGCCCCGCCCCCTCCCGGGCGCGCACCTATCATGACAGCACCAAGAGCTATCCGAAAAATACTCTTCACTGCTCAAGATGGCTGCAAATAATACTCCTCCATAATATAGTCTTACGTTTAAGATCCAGGCAGGGTGGGGAGCGTATAGGCGACCCACGGCAAGCAGGGCACAGAGTGATCGCGCAAGCAAAGAGAGAGAGGAAAAGAAAGCCACGAGATGACGGCAGCCTGCCCATGACCCCCGGGTTTGGGAATCATATTGGCGGATATATCGAGAGACCACCGAGAGTCAAACAAGGCGGAACACTGAACGCCCGAGCAAACAGGGCGTGCAACTATACACCGCCCAGCGGAGGCGAAAGGTGGACCCCGCGGGGCATTCAAGCTCCGAATTGGTGCCGAGAAGAGGAGAAGAAGGAGGACAACGGGAAAACTCGAACAAGCGATAAACTAAAGCTGGCTAACAATCCAGACAGCGAGCCAAGCCAAGCCTCGGAGCGTCAGGTGCGCGAGCGTGCCTTCGCGCTGTCGTTACGCGCAGGTATTGGAAGGACGGTGCGACAGACAAGGAGAGAACGACAGCTGTCAATTCCAACTCCATGAGGGTCTTCGAAAGTCTCCAATATCCGGCGTGTTCGTATAGGCGGATCAAAACAAGGATACGGTCGTGCGCGTGGAGGCAAGAAGGTTACGTCAGAACGAACAACGCGGAACGTCAGCACCCGCGGGCGCGAAAAAAAATTTTTAGAAGCTTTGAAATTACGAAGAAAAAAAAAACTAAACAAAAGATAAGAAGACAACGCAGAGGTTACAAGGGTATTGCGTATAAACAAGGAAGGAGAGCGAAGGCATGCGCATGCATACATTCAAGGTGTGTGCGCAGGCGCGTTAAAACGGGCCACTCCGATTGGCTCCGGCATATATCATTCCGTTGGGAAAGCCAATTGCATCCAAGACGGAACTATAGCCGGACACCAGCGAGTCGCGAATACGAGATCATCGACACGACGACGATGCAGGCTGCGGATGGCGGCTTACATTTCGAATACGCTGCACGGGCAAAACGTTCGACACAAAAGCGTCAACGAAATCTGACAGCACCGCTTTGTAACAGTTCTCGCACTTTTTTTTTACCTGTTCTTACACTGAGAAAGTTACGCAACGATAAAAGCGAACTTCTTCCTCTGCGGCACAAACACTGGAGAACCCCTAACCACATGTACGCGTTATGACGCGTCAGCGCGGGGCGTGTAGACTCGCTGTCGCGGATCCGGCCTCCTCGACTGAAGTTGACGCTCGGCTTTGCGTTCTGGCGCGTTCTCACGTGGCTGGAGCTTTAGCGAGTGCCACTGCTGTGGAACGCCCAGAGAAAATGGGTCTGAATCACGCTTGCATAAAGCGGCCGAGCGCACGGCAAACGCCGCTGCCGTCCTCAGCTGCAGTCTCACATTAGCTACAAGCTTCCGTTGATGGTTTACTTACAACGATGGGCCTTGGCATGATGCAAGATTATGTTTTGCATCAGCGATTCAAACAATCATCGTTTCTTTTTTCTTTCTGCTCTGGAGGTGCCCCTCTTTACACGAAAAAAAAAAGAAGAATATCCAGAAATTTCCTTTCATTTAATGCTCACGAGCCCGGTTCTCATACAACAACTCAAGGCTGTCCAGAAGGTCCACGATGCGGCGGTGAGGCTGGGCATCCCCGTCCCTACGTGGGATTGATTGATTGATATGTGGGGTTTAACGTCCCAAAACCACTATATGATTATGAGAGACGCCGTAGTGGAGGGCTCCGGAAATTTAGACCACCTGGGGTTCTTTAACGTGCACCCAAATCTGAGCACACGGGCCTACAACATTTCCGCCTCCATCGGAAATGCAGCCGGCATTCGAACCCGCGCCCTGCGGGTCAGCAGCCGAGTACCTTAGCCACTAGACCACCGCGGCGGGGCGTCCCTACGTGGGAGCGGCCCGCGATGCTATACCCCTATATAAAACGGGGGTGAAATTCTTCAGGACCCCAATGAAGTTTTTCATCCATTCATACATTTGCGTGGAATGTCGAGTGCACCGGTAATCATTTAGAAGTACACAGAAAACAATGAACCAGTAAGCGTGAAGATTCACAATTCAGAAAATCGCAGTTACCCTAAATTATTGCATAACGCTGTCACAATTACAGCATAATATACCACGGCCGATAGAGGCAGTAACATTTACTAACCGACCACCTATGTCAGGAGTAACCTCTACCAACCCCGACACGATAAATAATAACAATATATGTTTGCCAACTCTCAAATATTTCCAGAGAAGAAAACTCGAAAGGAAAATTGTCCGCGTATCTGCGTGATTAACTGCAAATGTCGCCGAAAGACGTTAGTCTTCTGTTAGCCGTACTACGCGAGTCCTGGTTTCATCCGCGTGAGATATGAACGCCATCTGGCAGTAGAGACGGGATACATGAGCTTATGCAGAACCCAGGAGCACTGCTAGGTAACAGCACGATATCGTCTGCAGGGTGCTTCTTTTTTTTTCTTTCTTGAATAGCGTCACATGTTTGGTGCAGCCTAAGAAACACTGGGGTATTTAGAATTTGTTTATTGCAGTAAAGGAACACACCACCTAGTACTTACGTATTAATGTTGCGTCTCATATATGCGTAATATTTGCTTTCTGGTCGACAACGTACACAAGTATGAACGCAGACACCAGTTCAAGATGGCTGGGCGTTCAGCATAGTGCTTAGACTTTGGCAGCGGGTGGCTGAATCGTGTGACGGAGAGTGAGAGAGAAAGACAGACCAAAATTCCCGCGTTCAAGTACCTCAAGAAAGAATATTGTCTTAGAAAGTAGCGTGCCAAGGAGGTAGAGTAAATGCTGCACCTACTACTTTTTATTATTATTTTTTACCAATAACGACAGAAACCATTCTAGAATGTCGTCCTGAGAAGTGGTCGCGGGTGATGGCGACGAAGGCAGCGCCCAGCTTCTTGAAGACTACAGACTTGCACCGACGGTTATAGACCAATGCATGGCGTTAT